TGTGTGTGTGTGTGTGAGCGCGTGCAGACAGGAAACAAGCTGTCCTTTGAATCTTCGATCCGCACGCGGTACCGGGTTGGACTGGTACCGAGACCCGACGGTGCCACTTTCATCTGCCGGGTCCGGGACCAGCAGGGACGGGTCCGGGTTCAGACCGCGGGACGGTGTCTGGTTGAGGTGAAGAAGACTGCGGACGGACAGGAGGAAGGTCTGGATCCGCAGGGAGCGCGCATGCAGGGAGCGCGCCGCGTGGCTGCGGGAGAGGCGTGACGCGCCCGAACCGCATCTCCAGGATGGCAGGTAGGTCCGGGTCTCTGACTGGGGATAAAACGGACCCTGTAGGGGACTGGCACGGCTCGGCTCGGCTTCCTCTCAGTGACAACCTCGCGTTTCAATGATCCGGGTTAATGAAGCGGTGCGGGTCTGATCCGCATCCGCAGGCTCCAGCTGCGGCTCTCTAAAGCCGGCCCACATACAGGAGGGGAGGATCCGGATCAGACTGGGTTTATTATGAGGATCGTGGTCGTTAAACCGGCTCCGGTAATTGGGGCACGGACGTGGTGCGGGTTTATCCCGGGTTGGGGGCTGAGGAGCGGGGCGGGAGCAGCTGGAGAGGCCGGGAGATGTGAGACAGGCCGGGGATGTTATCTGTCCGATAATGGGGTCAGTGTGTGTGCGAGAACCGAGCCGAGCCGAGCCGAGCCAGCAGAGCGGTGAGCGGCCTGAAAACTGTCCTGAACCGGGTCCCGAGTCCGGACATTACTATCAGAACCGACAGTGCAGCCAGGAACCAATCAGGATTATTGATTAATTACATGATTTTTTTTCACCCACAGGGCCGTTTCTAGCTTCTTCAGGGGCCTCAAGTAAAAGGATGTTCGGGGCCCAATTCTGTGTTTTTATTTAATGTAATAATATTGTTTTTAGTTTTTTAAATGGAGTTTGGAATGTGTGACATCTTCTAAATCATCCTATAATGTAAACACTCATATTTTAATATGTGGAGTATTTCACCTTTAATTAAAGTAATTAAACTGATAACTCTAAATATGATCAGAAGCAACATTTATTCAGATGGTTTAACTGATTTTAATCTGAACATGTGAAATTAAGGTATAATTACAGATTAATTAGTGTTACAGAACAATAGTAATTATTAATAGTTGTAGTTAGTAACAGATATTCTGTTTGCAGCGTAATACCAGACTCCATTGGCAAATCTCGCAATTTAATGTTTTCAGTTGTGGCAGTAAGAATTTCCAACTGAAGGAATAATATTATTGATATTTAACAAATTCAAAACTTCCATTCTTTAATTCGACCGACATCAAATACTTGTGATTATAAAGTGAGTGTATTAAATTCACAGATTATTACTGGATGTTACGTGAGCAGTGTTAACACTTAACATGAAAGAATGTTTTAAATTGTCGTTTTCTTTAAAGGAGTCTGGAGTGTGTGTGGCTAAATCTGAACTTCTACATGTACATTTTCTGTCTGTCTGTCCAGTTGAAGTAAAATGTGTCAGAATACAGAAGTTAGTATCACGCTGGCTCATACAGATACTTAAGCCAACACGATTGATTGGACTGGTCGTTCAAGTCCTCCTGACGGGCCCTTGGCTGTCTGTACTGGGATCAGACCGGCGGCCCTTTGAGGACGATGGACCCTGCGATCCCGCCGGGCCCTGGCTCCAGGACCAGGACCAGGATGGACCCCAGAACCTCAGCGTGCAGACGCGTACTCGGTGTGAGCCTGCTGGTGGCCGGCACACTGGTTTCCATGGTAACATCGAGCTCACCTGCTGCAGGTGAGTGTTTGTGATTCCACTGATTTAAAGGTCCTGGTCCTGGTCCTGGTTGGTCCACATCAGCCAGTCTGAAAGAGGTGTCTGTCCGGCAGGAAGGCTCTAATGAAAGACTCTCTCCAGGTGCATTATGGGAAACGTAGGATCTAAAAGTAATCTATATTTCTGCTGCTCAGATTTAATCTGTTACAACAACGAAACACTGACTGAGACTGTATTTAAGATTATATATAATAATAATATATATAATAAATAGTATTAAAATGTATCTATATATATTGAATAATATAAAGTATTACATATATAGTAGTAGTTTATATTATTTATACATATTGTTTATTGCATGTAATATTATATACACTGTACTTAAGAATATATATAATAATATATAATAAATAATATAAAGTACTACAAATATAGTTATAGTTTGATTTTATTTCTGAATATTATTTATATTATTTATTGTACATATTATTATATGTTTTATATATATTACAGAATAAATATATACATATAGTGTATAGGCTATATGTTTAATTCAGGCAGTAATCTATAGAACTTAAACTGTACTCTGATGTTGTAAATGAAAGTATTTATTAACTACAGATATATTAATAGTTATTGTTTCACTAGGAGAAAATGTATTTATTTGTATTTATTTAACCCTAATTTAACCAGGTTAAACCCACAGACGCAAACAATAAATCGCAAAACAGTAATAATACAAATCTTAAAAAAAATTAAAACAACAAGTCATATATTGCATAATGTTAAAACTAATAAAAAAGCAAAATGAAACACCAACCATCCATTTATTCTTCATATACTGGAAGTTAACACTGACAGTGTCATCTTATATAACGTAAAATAAACATATATACTCTAATAATAACAACTGCTGCTGATTCTTATCGCTTGGGGGAACCCCTGACATCTGATTGGCCACCCCATTATCTTCTTCCTGGTATCATATGAAACTAGATGAGCTAACACAAGTAGCTTGTCAGGAAGGCGAATGCTCCAGAGTTAGGCTAAACTTTCATGGCTAAGAGATCTTTTGAACTCTGACCTCAAGATATCTGAATAAAAATGTGTTCTATGGGAACCATGTATGTGGTATAAATGTGTTATTTTAGTGTATTTGAATATTTCT